TTATCACCAGTGATACCACATGTAGTTACCCGATTTATTGGAATATATAGACTTTGCTACCACATTCAACTGAACTTGGTTTTTAATATTTATCACTGTGACGTTTTTGTTAAAATGTTTCATTTTAAACTGCTGTAAATAGGTGCCTTTGTTTTGGTAGTTTTAGTCCCAAAAAAATCTATGCATATACAGGTACTCATTCCTCTTTGATTTGCTCAAAAAGTTAAAATTTTATAAAAAATTACATTGGCTGTTTAAAAACTCATTATAATCCCTGAAATGTGATAATTAGGTAAATTAAATTGAAAAACAAACAAAAAAGTTTATTAAATTAATATTTACTCTTACAAAATAGGTTCTTGTAAGTTAACAAGCAATTATGCAGATATTACTAAGTAAATGTACTTGCTTAAAATTCACACACGAATGTGGTTTTAACATGTTAAATTAAATTAACTAACTCTTTCCACATGTATTCTTAGAGATGCTATTCTTTTCTCGATTCTTTTACTTAATTGTACATCTTCTGGAGAACTTTTTTCATTCTGTGATACACTAGGTGTGGCTTTACTAAAGTGCATCCCATGTTTTCAAGTAGCTGAATATTCTGAAACCCCTATCTGCCATTATATGGGATCCAGGAACCAGTTTGTTTAAATACCCACATTTTTCTATTATTTCTTTATCACTAGTTCTTCTACAAAATGATGAATAAAGTCGGTATCTTCAAAACTTTCAGGAGATTCTGCATTTTCTTCCAGAAGGGTTTTTGGGTTATTCACCTAAGAATTTATAGTAGCCTCATTTTCAATTTCCTGAAGGGGACAATTAGCAGAAATTGCTGCTATATCTTGATAATCCGGTGTATTTTTATTAAAAAGTTTACGAGAAACATCGCTAGTAGAAGGTTGATTTTCTTCTTTCCAAATTTCTAGGAACACTAATAAATATTTTTGAAGATGAATGTGAATCATTATCACATTCTGGAACAAAACACTTTTTCGTAGTCATAATATTTATAAAAAGTACAAAATTAAACACTCAAATTCCAAATAAATTCTTGATTGAGACACTATGATGACAGATGCCATACACAGTGCTGCCATTTTGCCATTTTCTGAATTATTAAGTGACTTTTAAAACAATGAAACGTTAAATATGGTAAAAGTTTAAACAGAAATAATACTTTCAAAACACATTTGATATTATATATTTAAAAGATATTTGTTTAACGATGTTTTAGAAGTCTAAAAGTAAGAAGGAGTACACAAACGAACGTACATCACTTCTCGTAAACCTTCTAGCCGGCAACGTTGTGCGCTAGCTCCTATTGGTCTATTCCCGGTGACGTCATACATTTTTAAAAAATTCATAACTCCGGCAAATGAATAGATAAAAAAAAAATAAAAAAAATGTAGTTTTATTTTTAACTCTACTATTCATAAAAAAAATTTCAAAATTTTTGAACATGCCCCATTGTCTAGAAGAATATATAACACCTGAAATTTTATAAAAAGTGAATAGGTACAAGTAAAATCTTTTTATATATGAACATAATTTATGCTTTTCTAATAAATTGTCATATTTAGGTTACATTTTAGCATTTTATAAAAAATATCTATACAAAAAAAGTTAAAAGGTTTGATTCACAAAAGATATGTCTCTGCATCTAGAGGTAAGAAATCAGGAAACTTAGCAATCCTCTAGTCATCTAATATAATAATATGTACCTAGTCATTGTTGTATTTTTGTTTATTATTATTCACCAATCTAGCGTTTAAGGTTTTAGTGAACCTTTGCAATATTGGTACTTTATTATACTATTTAGCTAATTTTGTCCAATCGTTCAGTGCTTTATGGGTAGCTTCTTCTATCCCATAGGTGTACTTGTGTTTGTAATATTAGGTGTGTTCTTTTATTCAATAATTGTTCCATCAGTGATTGATGTCATGATGTCACCTCCGAGCAATTACTAATAGAGGGAGCGTAAAAACGAGTTTGTAGGCGATTGTTGTGTTAGCAACATCTGTAGAGAAGGTGAGGAAGCGGGCACAAGGGGGAAGGTAAACATCATTCTTGTTCAGTGGCGTATCATTTATCTATAAAAACACATTGTCCAAACGTTTTAATTGTAAAAAAAAAACTAAAAAATTTGCTAATTTTACTATTTTTAAAATGAATACCGTCTTATATGTGTCTAATGCAGGAAATGAAACAAAATCACTGTAAACTAAATAATTGAATTACAAGTCAGTCTGGAAATACAGTTTAAACGGAAATTTATGGCTCCTAACTTATGTTTGCTTTATAAATATTTTATATTCTGTTCAGATGATGTAACTTTAATATTTGTCGTGATATTTTATAATCTGTTCATACGATGTAACTTTAATATTTGTTCCGTTTATGCATAAATCCGTTAGATTTCCAAACTGGCATGTATATGTACTTTTACACACGGTACTGAGGTTCTTTTATTTCTTAACCTGTAGTGGCTCCAAGTATCCAAGTACTCAAGTACTGGCTCCAAGAAGAGGTTACTATTACGAGTAGTAGCTCCAAGACGATCTTCCAAGTACTGTCTCCAAGAAGAGGCTACTCCTCCAAGTAATGGTTCCAAGTAGTACTTCCAAGTAGTACCTCCAAGTAATGGTTCCAAGTAGTACTTTCAAGTAGTACCTCCAAGTAATGGTTCCAAGTAGTACCTCCAAGTAGTACCTCCGAGAAAGTCCTCCAAGTAGTGCCTCTAGCTTTATAAAAGAGAAGTAACGTACCTACATACTAAAATACCACATGGTCACCATTTATCGAAGTATCTAACAGTAAATTTAAACAATCATTCATTCAACTCTATTCACTAACTATTTAATTTGTAGACTTATGTAATACTTAAATTTCACTTTGTTTTATTAAATTTATTAAATTTTCTCACTTTCTTTTATTTGTCAGAACCCATACAGATAACTTTAAGTACCAGAGACGGGCTCAATTAAGCGGGACATTTAAAATCAGTTAAGTTTTCCAAGTTACTGAAAAACTTGGTGGTCGCAACTTTTTTTTGTCGTTGTCTTATTTTAATATCTTTCATTTTATCTTAAAGTAGATCTTGACCCGCGAACAGGTCAAGCTACTCTGATTTTGTTTGTCCTGGTCAATTTTTGAATCCACGCATATCAGCAATTTGAGCTAAGTCACTTATTAAATAAATTAACAACATAGAAATCTAGAAAGAAGCAGGATACACATACTAAAGGTATGCTATAACTTTCGATTCAAAATTCGTCCAAACCGCACATGCCGTAATGCGGGACGAACTTTCAAGTTATTTTGACACCATTCGATTGAGTAGTGTAAAAAAAATTAATAATTTATATATTTTTGTGTTAGTAGTAACTATATTTTCCTATATATAACAGGGAAGAACTGAATTATTGTTTAAAATGACGGGCTGCGAAGTGGAGATATTTCCGAATGCCACAAAATATGGGTAAATTCTTATCAAAGAAAGGACAAACTTAATTGAAATTGCCCTATCCATTTTGAGGAAAATAGTTGTGAAATTCCTCTTAAACATAGACGCAAGAATAGGAAACTGAATTCCAGGTGCACGGGCCTCATTAAGCAAAGAAAATAAATCGGTATTTAAAAATTTTAGCAGATAAAACAGTAGTTTCCTGTCCCAATACAACGGTCCTTTTGAAGTAATGCCATGCATGAGCAGGACACGAACATATATAAGAATAAGATAAATGAACAGGAAAATTGGTTTTGAGTATTTGCAAAGTAGACTTGACAAAAAATGTTTAAATTTACCTAATAAAAAGTAATGTTTTTATATACTTACTTTTTGTAAATAAATAATTTGTTTCTGCACACTTATTTTTATTTCACATAATAAGAAAAGAGATTGCAAGATAACTACTACGCCCAGAAAGTACAAATTTGAGTCAAACTTGTATTTTTAGTCCATATCTTTTACTTATCTTATGGCCAGGTTATGGATTTTGTCACAAAATACCTATAATTTATGAGAAAAATTAATATTTTTATTAGTATTATTTACCTTAAACCTTCATATTTATAAACGAATAGGTATATTACAAAATAACCAATAAAGCTTAGGTAACTGCATAAAATCTAAAATTGGCAAAATATCGAATTTTAAACACTATCTCCCATTTAATGCTTATAATTCCATGTCCCACGTGACGTCACCGTCAGTCAGGTGCATGCGCAGGAACATACCGTTAGTCTGTGTATCGTGGAAAGAAGGTAACAGGCAGTTTGACATTTGCCAAATTTTATAGCTTTTATTGTGATTTCCGTGTCTAAAACTATAAAATGGAATAAGATCTGCTTAATTTAGCTAATTTAAAACTGTTTAGGTATTTAAATTATAAGCTAAAAATTGAGTATTTAAGTGAGTTAGTTTTATGTGTGTCAAAAGAGATTTAACTTAAACAAAAACACAGTTTAATTTCAATTATAAATATTACTGATTTTAATCTTGTGCAGTAAAATTAATAATAATTTTATTAATATTTGGGTATTAACGTAGATTTGAGGTACATTTTAATTAAATAAAAGTTGTTAGATTATGTTTAGTTGTCAGTTCAAAAGGAAGTTATATCAAGAAAATAAAAACTATGAAGTGGTTTAATCAGTATAAAACTCAATGATTGATTAGGATCGCAATCTCTTATTAGCTGAAATCACAAAATTTGACTATTATCACAAATGAAAAAAATATTCATGAAAAATAATATTTTTTCCCAGTTTTTATTTTGTACTTTGTTACTTTTAGCTTAAAATGCGACTAGAGGTAATCGTAAGGGTTATCGATAATTTTCATTGATAGGAATTTCCCAGTAAACTCTAGAATTTCATCAAAGGTTTAATCGAAACGCACTCATTCAAAACAAATGTTTGCAATATTTTCTTATTATACATTTATAATTACACAAAAATTTACTTTAATAAGCAAATAAATATATTACAAAATTTCCTAACCATACAATCTTATTTTCTTCTATTCATAGAACTGCGAGCATTTATTAGATTATTCAAACTTAGAACTTGATCAGCGAATGGACTGACGTCAGCCACTTTTTGATCTTCTTCCAACCTATTTTCTCTACCTGAGGGATAGTCACCAAGGGACATACTATGTATCAAAGACGGCATTGCTGGTTCTGGATGAGGTTTTTCGTGGTCTGATTGGTCTTCTTGCGGGAACAAATACGTCAAGAATCTGAAGGTGGCTTCATGCGTGCTATCCGGAATCACATTTGCTAACCAGCCAATAAAACTTTGGCTAATATTTATGTACCTGTAATAAGGAAAAATAATTAATTTAATCCTATACTTTTCAAGCTGTTAATGCTAAGAGACCGCAAGGAAGCGATCGTGGCACGGTGAGTTGTTCATGTATGTTCATGAATTCAAGTAACTTCTTCCCCTATTACTAATTTTAAAATGGTAAGAATAACTTCAAATGATTTTTTAACCTTAAATTTACCCAATTGACAAAATAAGTAAAATAAACCATTCTTATAATATTAATTTTATTGCTAAATATGACCACATTTCTGAAAGTTGGTAACTTGTCGAGTTTCTTATTGAAAAAATCTTCAATGAAATAACCACACCTTATATCTTTTGAAAAAGTTTTTCCCCTTAAGGTATTTTTCCCACTTAATTAAAATAAATGAATTATTAGTAAAAAAACATTTAAATGCTGTAAAAAGAAGAAAAACTTTAATTTAAATCAAATCCATCAATATATTACATTACTGTGACACTGTCATTTAATTAATATTTAATAAAAAAATTTGCTTTTAAAATATTGTCACGTATTCATTTTGGTCATAGAAAAAGTATAGTACAAAACTCACGTTGTAAAGCGTTTACTTTACTATGCTTGATACTTAATATATTATTTTAGCACTAGTTAGTAAAAAAAAAGGTTTTCACTTTTGGTACGGATATAGAAAAATATTTTAAAACATCTATTACTAACCTTTTAAACAAATGTAAGTTTTCATCGGTGTATAGCGAAACCAAGAATCTTATAGTACGCATTTTTAGGTCAAACATTTCGAAAAGGTACTCTACTATTGTGCCCATGTATTCCATAAGTACCGAAGTAATAGAAGACGCAGATATACCAAATACTGAATCGACTGTAGTGAGTTGATTATCTAAAGAATCTGCCGAAACGTACGTTGCTAGAAGAATGGTTGCTAACTGCAATAAAAAAAAAATTATTATAATCTTCAAAAATGGCTTAAAATATATTAGGTGTCGAGAAGTGGAAGGAATACGTCAGTGTGTAAATCTTAGATCAAATAGAAACATTTATTAAAAATACATGCCAAAAAGGCTGGTTCTAGTTATTAAATACTAAATTTAGAGTTATTTCTCTCGGCACTCGAGTTTAATTACAGGGGAAATTCACAGCAGGTATCTCCTCTAATGCCTCCACCTCAAAATATAGAAACCATTGCTTTCATAGCAGGCGTTGGACAAATATTGTTTTTAGCTGGACTCAGGATAATTTGGAAAAATTGTTGCGCTAGGTATATTTATTGTAGTAGTAGTGTTCATAAAAATAACTATTTTAAATATTGTATGAGGTGGAGTTTTAGAATAAAAACATGGGACGAAAAAAGAATTGTTATTTTAAAAGAAATAATTTAAAAAGCAGCTACTTTAATTTATATAGAGCAAAAATATTTATATTTTTAAAAATAAAACACGTAGATACGATTAAAGTTAATACTGGTTTTCTCAAAAAAGAATAAATATATAAAAATTATTGTGTTCTTTTTGCATTTAATACAAATCCAAACAGTTGGTTTAGTTGTATGGCAGAGTATCTAATAACTCTTTAGCAACAATAAAAAATATTTAAAGATAAGATTCCAGTTTTTCCGGACATTATAAATATTTCAGTAAATTTTAAGTTATCCATCTTCTATCCCAGTATGTCATTAAATATTTTAAGAATTGCAAATCCAAAGCGCGGTTCGAACCCCACCGTTGGCAGGAATTTTTTTATTTAATTTATTTATTTAAAAATAATTTTGATGAATATATATCGTCGTTGTTATGACTATTGGTCGTATCTTATTTTTTTTTCAAAATTGAGTTAGGTTGCTTAATAGATAACTAAAACTGCATACTTCGTATGCTGGTAACATTATTTGTGATAATAAATTACTGATGGAATAAAATATTTAATATTATAACATTTGATATTTTAACTATAAGTCGTATCTCACGTTTTTTTTTTCAAAATTATGTTAGTTTGCTCAATAGATAACTAACATTGCATGCAAAAATATATAAAGACGTAAAATTTCATATTGAGAGGTTCCCTAGAGAAAAATCCCACTATTCCAGAAAATCTTCTAAACGAGAGTACCTCCATGGAGATTTGTTATTGTCTAACATGTACGATATGTACAAGAACGATATAGAAGGACCAGAAGTTGCTAGGTATGGTACTTACTATAAGATCTTTAAAGCATTTAATTTTTCATTAAATCGACCGAAAAAAGACCAGTGTAGTTTATGCTTACATTACAGAAAGGCCGAAGATGGTGAAAAAGAAAAGCTTCAAGAACGATTTACTACTCACATAAAAGAAAAAGAAAAAATTAGATATATAAAAGAAAAATGCAAGAAAGACTCATAAAATAATCCAAAAGTAATAAGTGCTGTTTTCGATTTGCAGCAAGTAATATTTTTACCCATGATTGCAAGGTATTCTATAAGAATAGACTAAGTAACTACAACTTTACAATTTACAATTTGGGCACTAGAGACTGTAACTGTTTCGTCTGGCATGAAGCTGAAAACAAGAGAGGTTCCTCAAAAATATCCACAGTTTTTATTTTTACAAGGAAATGACAAAAGTGACAATTAGACTGTGAATCTTTTTTGCGACGGTTGTGCAGACTAGGCCAAAAATACCATTATGGTTTTAATGAAAAAAGCACGTATACAGGGTATACCAATAAAAACTCCCAGGCCGGATATTTTGGTAAGTAATAGAGACATTTTAATTCTGCAGAAGCCAGTTCACAGAGCACTAAGAGAGCTTCAGTTTTAGATATAAATTAATTTTAAATAGGTTATTAGATGGCGCTGTGCTCAATATTTTTTTTTTTTTTCGATGGATGGATCTATCTTATGTAGCGCCTCTTGTAAAAAATGCATTTTAAAGCCTATTTTGCTTTATGAACTAATTCAATAAATTTAGCCAATTTTTGATATAGAAAGTGGGTCACTCAAAACAGTGTCATTCTGGGTTTCGGCATTAATCACTGGATTTTAGTAAAATGCTAAAACAGGTCGATTTTTATTCAAAATTAAACACATTTTCACAATGCAGACAAATTAATAAAAAAGATGTAAAAAGATACCTCACTTTTTAAACTCGCATGTCTAATTGTATTGTCGACATTAATTTAAGCATTAAGTTGGATTTTATTTATCTTCACTATGTTTATGCTTATGTTATTCTGTATAAATAGGTACATTGTCATATATTAACTTTTAAGTTATTGATGTGAATGCTTAAAGAAGTAAATTAGGCTGACTAAACACACCTTTAGGTAACTAAGGCACCTTACTGATTTATGTATTATTACTAAAACCTTACCCTTTATGTACTGTGGTTTTAACTACATCGTTTTATGGATTTATTTTGCATTGTATACCTTGATATTATATTGTTTGTATTTTTTGTCACGAGGTACCTATTATAGTTATAATATTTCATATTTTATTTATTTAAAAAAGAATAGTGTATAAAATAATTAATCTATTTTAGATAACTACCAAAAAGCTAGCCAAAAAGCGACTAAGCTTCTTATAACATCAAATATAACAAGTGTTGATGAGGTAGAACCTCTTCCTCCTAAAATAAAACCGAAGCCATTAAAAAGATTATTTTTAAGTAACGATGATGAATTCATTATTGATGACGAACCTATTAATACTACTGCTTTGTCTGGCATAACTTATGTTTCATAATAAGTAAGAGAAATACTTTTGTGACTCTGTTAAGGTGCGTCCTCACCGAATCAACACTGTCGATCGACTCTGTCTATCGACGTTGTTGACTTTGTGTGTACGCGGCAATCGACGGTGTCGATCCACAAAATAAATCGATCGACATATCGATTTGTTTTCCATCGCCTGTCGGTAAATATGAAAGAGCAGTCGATTGACTATAGGGTGTGGACGTGTTTTCGACGTTCGTCATTCGACAAACTGTTCGTACTGAGTACTAAGTACTCTGTAACGTCTTGCCCTGTTGACATTGTAGAGAACTGGAATGGGAACAAGATAAAGTCATAGCCTTTATTGAGGCATACAAACTGAGAACAAATCTATGGGATTCCAAAAAAAAAAACTATAAGAGCAGAAACTTGTGGCACTATGCCCTTATGGAAATTGCTAGTAAATTTAACGTCGAGAAGCAAACGCTAGAACAAAAAATTAGAAATCTTCAAACTCAATTTACTAGAGAAGTAAAAAAAATAAAGGACAGCAACAAATCTGGCACTGGTACGGAGGATGTATATAAAAGTTGTTAATGTTAATTTCGACTAATCGACAAACATTTCTGTCAACTCTGGTGTGGACAGATGGATACAGTTTTGTAGACTTGGTGATCAACAATGTCGATCGACAGTGTTGATTTGATAAGGAAGCACCTTTATAAGTACATCTATTTTACTCCAAACAATTTTTTTTCAAATGTCAATAATTATTTTTCATAATTGAAGACCTTGGTGTATTAAGGATACATGCCACATTGTAAGTATTAAGAAAATTGAGTTTTAAATTTATTTTAAATCTGTCAAATACAAATTAAAAAAATTATTTAAATATAAATATTACTAAAAATAGTGCCTCTAATCCGAAATAGAGGTAAAATAAATTATATGTGGCTAATATCCTTATTAATAGGTATTTTGAGCTAAAACAGTCACTTCACGACAAATTGTGGCTTGTATCCTTTTTACACCAAGGGCTTCAATTATTAAAAATCACACCTTTACCATCAAAAGAGCTTGGGAGTAAAATAACTTTTCCTCTTACCGATATACCTTGTAAAAATAATATTTCTTCATTCCATTAATTATAAAAAAAGTTAGGTTAACCTGGTTTAAAATTTACAATTTTACATCACCTTAAAAATTAGCATCATAAAATTATTATTAAAATATTAAGTTTTTGACATATGAAGAAAAACTAAATTGTACGTTAGCTAGGAGCATCTAGTACTCTTCATATTTAAGTTTTTCATTGATTTCTCTTAACAGGTCTGATTTTATTTATCTTGTTTGCGTATAATAATAAGGTGTGAACCATCGAATATATCACTCCTGTGAGAGCTTAATGATATAAAACAATTTGAATTTCATTCAGAGACGTGTATATATTTCTGTCTTTATTATTCATTGCTAACTCTAGTTTTTGGCTCACATTTTATTTAAATAATTAAGTTTCTGGTTATTATGACTATTATATTTTTGTTTTAATAAAACGAAAATTTAATAAGGATACCATTGAAGCTGCTCCAAGCCTGTATACTCGGAATGATTTGTTGAATATCTGGACACTGCTATATAATCTTTTTTAATTTATACGTTCTTATACGTTTTTATAAAACATTTTTTCATATAACGTTATCTTATAAACATTTTCTTTACAAATTAAACATTTTTAAATGAGTATTATGGACGTCTAAACACGTTATCTGGTGACGTATATATCACGTTGCTGTATGACGTCTTTGATCTGTAACATATTGCCGTCATAATTACGTCACCAGCACGTCATAAATTTGGTGATTTCGATGTAAAATGTGACGTGTATTTCACGTGAAAATTACGTGTCTGTGCTAGCTGGGTGGTAATTGTTAACCAGATAGATCAAGGTCGATAATTTTGAAAATGATAGAAAGTGAAAAAAAAAATTATAGTAGGATGAAACCCGTTAAAAAAGGACGAGAATATAACAAAAATAAAAGTAAACATAATTTACGGGCAATCTGAGGTCGGGAAGTGGAAGGGGGTGAGTTTTTAAGGGTAAAAAAAGTCCTATGAAAAAAATTTAATGACAAGGTTGTAGGTAATAAAGAGACCTACAACTTTTGTAATTACATTTTTTTCACATAACCTCAAAATTTATGTGAAAAATTCAAATAATCAAGTTTTTGGTTTTTTATTTTTATCTTATGCAAAAAAAAATTGTTTTCTTGAAATTTGGTGAAAACTCACCTTTTTATGTCCTAAAGACAATGTAATTGTTTTGATTTAAAATATTTATTTTTTCACCTTATTTTGGCTTAATATCAAAAAAACACCCTAATTTTCAATCGAAAATTCTCGCGTCAAAATATCAGCTTTTTAAAAAAGTCAGTTTTTGTCCGTTGAAAAAAATATATACATAACTATGGTAAATGTTCTCAGAAAATGCAAAGAAAAGAAAAAAACTCGAATCCGAATTTTTTTTTTAATCACTATGTACAATTTTGAGCTATTTAGTAAAATTGACACTTTAATTACTTGAAAAACGTCAGATTGTATGTTACATTGATAAACAAAAAAATTACAAATCCATAAATCATAAAAATTGCAAGAAACATGCGAAAATAGTTGTTCTAAATATTAAAGATAGGATTTAAAGGGGGGATTTCAATTAAAAATTGTGATTGCTGCAATTTTTTTTAGTCAAAAAGTTGAATTATTAAATTATAATTACATTTATGTCATAGAAAATCTCATAATATATGAATAGAAATGTAAATCGTACTATTGAATTTAGATACTTTATACTGATCATTATTATTCATAATAATATTTTAAAATACATTAATCTTCTTATTTATAAATCTTATCTTGAACCCTTATCACTTAACCATTACTTTTTGTCTCTTAGGTGACATTTCTTCATCGTTAGATTCGACAAACCTTTCCAATACTAGTAGATCTTCGAAATCTTCAAGACCATCACGGTCTTCGTATCCAATATTATTTTTAGTCTGAATTGGTCCTTCATCCACAATTTCATCTGAATCACTAACTTCCTCGTAGGTTTTTTCTTCCACATTGGTGCATTTTTCAGAACCATTACAATTTGAGCACAAAGAGTGTAGCAGTATAAGCACGGGTCAGATGCCCCTGGGGAAATTTATGTCAAAATTTTGATAACGAAATCACCGCCTTAAGAGGAACATTTCCCTAAGTTACCAAACCTCTGAAGGCGCTAGTTTTTAAAAAAAAATTTTTTTTCAAATTTAAAAAAAAAATTTTTCTCTTGCTATATAATATTTATTTGTAATCACTAGATACACTAGATACACTAAAGAAGCATTAAATAAGGTACTTTTGAAGTCTTCGCAGCAATTGATATATCGGAATATCACAAATTCAATATTTTATAATTTTAAATCTCATCTATTTTAAGAGACACTATCACGAATTTTTTTTATAAATAGCCCTTACTACGCTCTATAACATATATTTTTTTCAAAATTTTCTCTAGGGTAGATCATTGTTAAAAAAAATATGATTACTATCCTCATATGAATAATTGAGCATCGGAGTAATACTGCTTTTATTTTTTAAATGTAATTTTAATGATAAGAACAACAATAATAATAATAATAATTAATCTTCGTCACTGTCTTCTTCAATCGTTACTGTGATATTGTCTTTTGAGAATAATCGACTGAGTGTCTCAGCTGGGCGTGGAATACGCGACTGGTACCGTCCAAGTGATAAATAATAAATTGCTGCCGCCAAGTGGGAGCAGCATCCTACCGTGCGACGTCCATTTGGGCATTCACAAAAATGCCTAGTGATTCCATCACATTCGTGCTTTTGAGGAATATATTCAATAAAACACTTGTAAGATTTTCGTGCTATATGTCTTGATCGCACACAAAGTTTCAAAATATTAGATTCATCTTTAACAAAATCTATATGTAGTGTATTATCGTTGTCTAATATTTCAGCAAGATAAGCAATTGCTTGGCTGTATTGATACGATCCAGTGAAAAATAATTTTAATTGAGTCTCATCTAGTTGTGGAAAGTCAGATAAATCATGGCTGTTTATGCGTTGAAATACGATTTTCTTCCTCAACCATCCCTTTTCTTCGACCTCTTTTGCTAACGTGTTATCTGTATTTTTGAGGCTTTTCATACGATCGATTATTTTTAAAGATAACTCACTATCAACAGTGACAGGTTTTCCAAACTGGTTGAGTAAAAATGCTGCAATTTTATACAAGGTTCCAATTTCATGAAGCATTTTGTTGTCAAATGTGTGGTCTAAGAGTCGGCTTTTTTGTTTTATTACACCATGAACCCACTCGACTATCCAGCGAAGCTTTGTGACAAAACGGGATTCATCACACTCTTGTGTAGTTAGTTATTTCCGGTTTCCTTTTGAAGCTGGCATTAATACTACATAACCCTTAGATTCCAAATAATTTTGCACATCTCGGAACCCTCGTTCAAGAACGAAGACATCTCCTGGATTTAAAATTTTCGATAGTTGATTTGTGTCTATAAGCATTTTTAAAATTCTGGCATCGTTCCAATTCGCTTCATAAGGCCCAAACATGTCTATTACATATCCTCTAGAGGTACACACTGTAAAAGGCTTACAAAGCGTTTTCTTCTTTTGGACTGAATATGATTTCCGTTGATATTCGTAATTTTGACTCTTTTGATGAGTTGCATAAGTCCCGTCGCAAATAATTATTAGTTTATTGTGAAAATCGTCATATAATAATTTAGCAGTATCAGTTGTATACTTTTCGATAAGATTTTCTCGACTTTGAGCATTTACTCCAAAGCATATTGGAAGAATATCTGTCTTTAAAGATTTTATTACGGACATATAATATTCACTAACTACTTGAGGTGATGACAATTGTAGCAATGAACAAATCATTTGGTTGGAATTACCAGATCTTAGTTTAAAGAGAAAAACCACCAGCGCTTGAATGATTGTCCTTGATGTACTGTTTCGCATTGATGTCATCATAGTTTTTAGTTCAATAATATTTTCCCAACTTAAACCAGTCAATATGCGTATTTCATTCTCTGAAAGCCCATAGTTATTTACCTTATCAAATAAAGTAATATCACCCTTGATTGTCTGTAAAATATTTGTCACATCTTTCGCTGTAATTTTTGTATCATAGGAATATATTTTAATTAACTCTAAATCGTCTTCATAAAACCGATTATTAATTATATGGATTGAACAACAACGGTTCCCTCTAGGAATGAAAATAGACTTCTTTGAATAACAGTGTAAGCGTGCATTGTCAGGTACAGTAATTAAATCTTTAGTGCTTGAACAAATAAAACAATATCTATGTGTAGATATAGTTCTTGGTATGAAGAGTTCTGAAAATTCGTTAGAATCACTTCGTACTTTATAAGTAACGGATGGGTCCAAATCTGGATTCGGCTCAATTTCTGTTTCATCGAAAGCTTCTGAAGCTTTGCGCTTATACATTTTTACACGACAGGCTCCACATACTGCACTATTTGGAAAAATAGTTTTTGGTTTTTCTAGCACACTTTGACATAATTTGATATCTTCCGGGGTTGTTAAAATTTTTTTTGACCTTTCACTTTAAACACAGATCTATCACACACAACACATTTGAGATTCTTGTCACTCTGCATTCTTATCAACGAAGATAAATAGCTAAGATCACATGAAATGTTACTATTTAAATACAATGTCACTATGTTACATTACTGCGTTTTCGCCTTTAAATATTAGTTTTAAATAATTTATTTAAAGTTATTTTTATTCAAAATAACAGTATAAACATCTATATCAGAATCACTAATATTGAACTATATGACAGTCAACTTCGTAATAACATGATTTCGTATCAGCAGACAAAAGAAACATACGTTTAGACCGTGAATTCAAGAAAACAACAAAGTAAACAAACACGCATCAACTTGTCGCGTATTGGGAGCGACGACTAGATGCTCGTTCGAAACAAATGTAACAATAAACCGAGAACTAAAATAGTAATAATTTGTGATATTCCGATATATCAATTGCTGCGAAGACTTCAAAAGTACCTTATTTAATGCTTCTTTAGTGTATTGGTAGATTGGTAGAAAAATTACAAATAAATATTATATTGCAAGAGAAAAAAATTTTTTTTTCAAAATTTTTGTTTTGTTTGGTAACTTAGGGAAATGTTCCTCTTAAGACGGTGATTTCGTTATCAAAATTTTGACATAAATTTCCCCAGGGGCATCTGACCCGTGCTTATACTGCTACACTCGTGCATTTTAAGCCATGTATTCGGCAGCCACATTTTACAGCTGCAGCAAATAGTTTTGAGCAATATTGCCGGAATTAACTCCTTCTCTGTAAATTTGGGCATAATCCCACGTTGATGTTGCTTCCAGTCCCAATCTGTTGCTGTCAGTTCGTTACCTAGCCAAGTTTGAAGTTGATAATATGCCCTGTAACAATGCTGCACCTTCTATGGGTGGGAGATTTGCCAATATGAAAGATGATTTAATTTTTGCCAATTGATATTTTTGAAATCTTAATTAATTCAGTGTTATATTATCATTTTTACATTTACAAATAGATTTGATTAATTGTAATCCATTTTTTTCGATGTCTTTTCTGTTTGCATCTTTTTTATAAAAAATATTGGCCAAATTTGACACATTTTTATCGTTTATTAATGAATTTACAATACTCTTCTTTCCTTTTCCGGCAAATCCAGATGTTGTATCGCAACCAGAAAAACAATACAGAAATGCAACGATATTTTTGAAGGATTCATATTTGAAACTATTAGACGTGAAAAATAGATCTTTTACATTTCCAGAAACTGGTTTGAGAAAATAAATGTCATGATTATTTGAAGTGAATTGATTCAAAAGGACCAAAAGATCAATATCTTGACCCACAACAATGACAGTTTTATTGGTTACTCTGGCAATTTCTATCGAAGTTTTAATAATCTCTGCATCAGTATCTTCTTCTGCTTGTTTACAGGAAAATCCTTGTGACTGTAATCTTTTCATTAACGCTGCTACGAAATAACAGGTAGAAAGACCTAGACCCGCCTATCCACTTCCTCACTTCTCTATGAAATACCTTTTGATGGGTTAAAATTATCACTAGGTAACAGAGGTATATAAGTTATCTTAAAATAGCAATAAATAGACATCTATGCACAATTTAAAGAATATTCTACAACTTTCTCAAAATATTGTAGATGTCTTATTAAATATGAACTTATTCGTTTGTTAATTATAGTAGTATATTTCGATTTGTATTTTTTTGTTTATCAATGTAACATAGAATCTTACGTTTTTCAAGTAATTAAAGTGTAAATTTTACAAAATAGCTCAAAATTGTACATAGTGATTAAAAAAAAAAATTTCGGATTCGAGTTTTTTTCTTTTCTTTGCATTTTCTGAGAACATTTACCATAGTAATGTATATATTTTTTAACATTTTCAGAAAGAAGAGATTTCAGCGAACAAAAAACACTCCGATTTTTTTTAAAAAGCTGATATTTTGATGCGAAAATTTTCGATTGAAAATTAGGGTGTTTTTTCGATATTAAGTCAAAATAAGGTGAACAAATAAATATTTCAAATCAAAAAAATTAGTGTCTTTAGGACATAAAAAGGTAAGTTTTCACCAAATTTCGATAAGATAAAAATAAAAAACCAAAAATTTGATTATTTGAATTTTTCACATAAATTTAGAGGTTATGTGAAAAAAGTGTAATGACAAAAGTTGTAGGTCTCTTTATTACCTACAACTTTGTTATTTAATTTTTTTCCATAGGACTTGTAGTTTTTCCGGAAATCGAGATACACCGTATTTTACCCTTAAAAACTCACCTTTTTCCACTTCCTGACCTCAGATCACCCGTAATTTATTTTTCCTTTCATTTTTGCTATATTCTCGCCTTTTTTTAACGTGTTTTATCCTACTATTATTTTTTTTTTTGTTTCAAAAATTATCGACCCTGGTCTAAGAACCAACCTTTTTGGAATGTATTTTTAATAATTTTTAAAACTACTTCAAAATGGTTTTATTTGATCTAAGATTTCCAGCGATGGTATCTAATAGATAATGGCTTAGTGTGTACACCATTCCAAATCTACTTATATTAAAATATAATAGCTGTTATTTTAATGTTAAAATCTTTAGTATCAACGAATCAGAACAAGTAAACATTACCAAACAAAACCTGAACACTGCCATGTTGCACTACAAAACTACACTACGCTTCTCACAAACGACCAGCTGGCACTAGACTGAGAACTAGTTCCAATTTTCAAAAAGAAATAATGTGTCCATAATTATCGGTTAATTAGTTTTTCCTAAAAATAATTAAGATTCCTCAATGAGTTAACTTGTATTTACTATTAACGAATTTAGAAATTTGAATTACTATGTAATCATAAAGTCATTTCTATCTTTTTCAAAAAATTTACAATTACAGAAATATTTGTAAGGTGTTCAAATCCCATTGTAATCAAATATCGTTTATGTAAATTTAATGAAATATTAAATATAAAAATGGAAAGTTTATTTATTAACAAAGAAACAACAACTGTTTATTTATTAATGTTATTTCTAAAAAAGTTGGTAAAAAATTAACTTGAAAATCTGGTAGTAAACTGCCATTACTGATACAGTTATTTTGAACTATAGGGTCCTGAAACAGGTATAACTTTTAATACTCATTTTCAAGTGTTATTAACAAAGAAACGGCCGTTTCTTTATTAATATGTTAATTCTAAAAAAGTTGATATAAAAACTTGAAAATCTGGTAGTAAACTGGCATTAGTGCTACAGATATTTTGAACGATAAGATCCTGAGAACAGGTATAACATTTAATATACAGAGTATATTGTATTATACTTATATAATTAGGTGTCATTTATAAACACATACGAGTATAACCATATAAATAACACATTTAAAATCATTATTTCAGGCATAAAACGATTTTTTTAACATACAATTTCTCTACTTTAAGAGGAAAATTTAAGACCTGCGGGGTAACGGTAGTTTAGTAGGTATAAAAATTACAACTTGAGAGTGGAGCCTAAATACTACAAACTTACTTACGAGACTAAACAAATCCGCATTCATTCATAATTTTAACAATTGCATGTAGATACGAGGGATACATATTCTAAACTCTAACCCGCCAAGTTGAGACAAAGGAACCGAAAAATCCTACCAAGGGTGCCGACATTCATCAGTTACTGTTACTGAG